GAAGCCCTGCCCCAGCCAAAGACGGGCTCCCCAGGGACGCATTCCTGCAGCTCTCTCTTCATCTCCTCCTTCTCCCTCGCTCCATTTCTCAGCCTCTCCTTCCTCTGCAGTCCAGCATTAGTGCGATCAATAGCACCGATCGCATTGGGGACACGAGGCGATCCATAGCCATGCGCTCCCTTAGCGCACTGCAGTGGTCACGGCTTAAGTGCATGGAAAGGTGTTATACCTCGGCCAGACAGAGAGAGACAATGGCGGCCATTGATCGAGGTGACATGTAACATCTTCCTCTGGCTGTCTGTGGGGTGTGGTCCACTAGCAAAGCAAGTCTAAAGTCTGGGCACAAAAGTACAAACGTGAACAACTATAATGAGGCCCACATGTGATCCCTGCTGCAGAGAGTCAACAATAAGAGTCCAGCACTTCTAACACGCTCCTTTAATAGTAATTAATATAACAAAAGGCCAAAATGGGTAACTTTATCACAACATGCCATTACTACCTGTAGAATGTGTATAATATGTATGTATAATATGTATAATATGTCAAATAGCCTCTACTTGTCCAGACTAGCTTGTGAACAAAACATGTAGCTGAGGCAAAAAATGCTCACTTCAGTCAAGGAACAGCAATCTGCATATGTGGATTGGTTCCAGTCAAGCTCTACAATTTGTTTACCAAAAATAAAACATTTCAAATTGTAAAAATGGGAGTTTAGCAGGTGCCGGTGCTTGATTAGAAAATGCTTCTAATAAAGGATCCATCTGTGAGTAGAGACTTGATGTAAGGCAGATTAATTGGTCATGGATGTCTACATAATGCCACATAGGAAATCTCCTCCCATATTACTGCCAATACACAAACACGCACACACCGTACTTAGTATGCCATCTTCAAGTTTCTTTTCTCCCACCCTGTTTGAATACTAATGGAGTGTTTCTGCACAATCACGATGCCCTAATGGCAATTATATTCTTTTGTTTGCTTTCCACTGGGGCCCTTATCCAAACTGCCTGTTTTTATCACTGAGCAATTAAGAACTATTTGTCCATAAGATTGACATTCATGAAAGCAAGCCTAATTATGAGAAAAAAAGGTCTGACTCATATTGAAATGAGTGTCGAACATGATATGAAGCACTGGTGAATGAAATAGGTCGTGTTCATGTGATGTCATAAGATTTCAAAGGACCTGTCGGGTAAGCCTGAAATGGGAGGAAATCATTATGGTAGAATTTATTCCTTCAATGTCATTCAGTCCACTAGGCATAAAACAAAAACTGGCACAAAATTTAACAACTCGTCCACAGCATAAATTAACTATTTAAGATCACGTCACAAGACCATTAAAATATATTGTGAATGGGTGACAGACCATTAGCTACAAAATGAATATATTGAGTTTGTGGAGCTAACACCTGATGATTAGGTTTAACATTTGTGTTTTTTCTGATGATACATAAAAAAAAAGGTCTCTTACCTTTCTTATTAATGATCTGCCAAATTCCTTTGCATTTATTTCTATTATTTGTGCACCAGCTGTTTGTAAATTTGTACTTTGGTCCTTATTCCTTTTGTTACAACTCCATTACTTACACCATTGTAAAATAATTACATAGAAAGTATTTTGATTAATTAAGTAACACATCATTTCACTATGTCATTCAAGCACTGAAAAACAACTATCATAACAATCTGCAACCATTTAAAGGTCCTACATTACATAAAATTGACTCTTGTGAGCTTTTAGCCATGTTACCGCCTCAAAATACATGGAGTTGTTTTGTTTCATTCACATATATTTGAGTAACCCTTTATCTTTAGTCTGTCTACATCTCCAAAGGTCAAGATGTTCTGTTCTACCTTTTGATGTCATGAGTTTTCACTACATTTCAAGTAGTAGTTTTTAAGTTAACAGCTAACTTTTAACTTTTGTTCAGTAGAGATTGAAATGATTAATTATTAATTATTAGTAACGGTGTACAGGGTTTAAAAAACAGAGCACTTCTTGTTTTACCAAATGACATCACAAGGTGGAACAGTGTGCTTTCAGTTTGAGAGAAAAACTCAGCATGAATATGTAGGATTTGTGTGTTGAATGAATGAAACAAAACAAAACACAACTGTACATATGATTGTGATAAGTAAACAGCATTATAACATAGATTAAAAAAGAGTGAAAGTATGGGCCCTTTTAGATTATTTCTATAAACATGCTATAACTATTTTCCAATTATAATCTATACCAGTCATAAAGTGGTGTTGTAAAATGAGGGAAGGACACTTCAAGGAAAAGCAATGACTGCTCTTGTTGGTAAAACCTACATATTGATTTTCACACCTTTCGATGACTGAACAATGCGTTCTTCAAATTTGCACACACATGAACACCCAAGAGACACACGCACACGTAAAGGCCTAACTGCTCACAATATCGCTCCTGTGAGAAACAAACATGCATTTTTATCTTGAATCCACACTAGATGGTAATATGCAATGATGACCAAAACAGCAACAAAACAAAGATCTGAGATTTTTGTACAGTTGATGGAAAAATCTTAGCAAAAACACGTAGAACGTCTAGCCTATAATTTGTGGTTTGTCCATTGTGGGTTGCAAACTACAATGAAATCAAACAGGGCCTGAATGTAAACACAAACTGGTTACAATAGAGTTCTCATGGTTAGCTTTTGGATTTGTGGGGTTTAGAGATTGTTCAGATTTAACTTGTAAATGTACTCTAACAGATAGAAAGAAAGCATGGATTAGTCTTTGCCAAAATGTAAATTCACAGTTTTTAAGGAAAAGTGGCAAGGACAAAACCAGATCTTAATCAGGAGAATAACCAGGAATAAATCGGGTCTAATTCAAGAGGGAATAAAATGGCCCGAGACCAAAACAACACTCAATCAATTTCTATTAAAGGTCCTATATTACACAAAATTGGCTCTGGTGAGCTTTAAGTCATGTTAAAATGTTATTATCTTGTCAAAAACATACCTGAGTTGTGTTTTGTTTCATTCACAAATGTCTGAACAATCCTTTGTTACCCATAACTCAAAATGTTCCACCTTGTGATATTCTGTATTTGTAGTTTTAAAGTTAAGAGCTTTTACCTTTAGTTCAGTAGAGATGGGAACTTCCAGGGCTGAAATTATCCAAATGATTCTAATGAAGGTGAATGGAGCTTCAAAAAAAGTGGAGCACTGTATTACCACATGACATCACAAGGTGGAATAGAGTGTTTTCTGTTTTGTCCTTTAAAATAAAATAAACCATAACACATATCCATTTTCCCTAATCTAATTCATCCATGTAATTTCTTTTCAGAACTACACCAACAAAATAATCAGTGATGTATTCTCATCTGATCTAAAGCCTATGTTGTGATTAACATAGATTCCCCATGCTTAGCGCACCCCCAGTGTAAAGGAGGGCAGGCGCAGCACATGGAAAACCTTGGGTCCACGTCATTACTCCTGTCTGCCACCTTGTCAGCGTATTTTTAGCACTATTCATCCATCAACAGGTCAATGACACAGTCCGCCATTGGCATGCTTCTCTCAGTCCCATTAGATATTACCACTGTGACTGTGTAAGCCCAGCATCGGACGAGCTAGGGGACTTTCCTGGAGCGAGTACATTTGAGCTAGGTGGACCATACTTCTGCTGCTCTGTAGTGCACGCTGGTGAAGGGTTGGAAGCTTCCTATAGTGCAGAGTGAGTTGTGCTGAACCAAGCAAGGACACTTTGCAGAGACTATAAATATGAGCGTGTAGCCTAGAGTGATCTGTTATAAGGACACATGGAGGCCTGTTTGGATGTCTGCTGCTGCTGTGTACATATTGATATGGAGCTCATATGAATAACAAGTGAGCTGACTGTGTATTAGCTATGAGTGTAACCAATGGGCTACCGATGGGGCTAATCTTTTGAAGTGTACAAGTTTAAGTGTACGGGTTTCCAATGTAATTCAATTCTGCACAGAAAAAGTACTAATACCATAGACTGTATAAAGAAATGGACCGAGGGAGTGTGACGTCACCCATAGCATTCAGCTCCAGTCAAATGAAGCTCACGATGCTAGCAGTTACAGGGGAATAGAAATTTATTTAGGGACAAAATAGTGAAATAAAAACACCAGGATTATGTAGAGTGGGTTAATATGAACATTTTAAATCCAAAATGATGAGGCTCACTGCAGCAGTTACAAACAGAGGGACAGCATTTGTTAAATGTGAAGTCAGTTGGAATTGATGCAGTCGGAAGCACCCCCATGTTCACTTCCTGTTTGGAACGTGGCGGCTAATGGGTTAGCTATGTCCATTTATATATACAGTCTCAGACTAGCACAGAATATCAAACTTTCAGAGAGACCTGTCATGATAATTACTCTTTTGACTAAACTAAATAAGAGATGCACTATATGTTTTGGGCTTTACTGCTACATATTTTTCTTTACAGTAGGTTCAAAAAGTTTTCTGCTAAAATGGTAATTAAAATGATCGTTTATCAGAGTATATAGGCGGCAGGCCTAGATTCAGAGAGGGAAAATGTTGGGAGACTAGTGTTACTATGAGTAAGGTTTTTTGATAAATAAAAAAGAGACAGATGGGTATTGATTAGTAATGATCTGTTTTCAGTGCTCTGTTGGCTCACAATAGAAATTCAATATCTCAGCAGACTTCTAATGGCAAATATCTGGATGATTGAGACAGCTAAAAATATAGTGGAGGTTAGAGAAAGTAACCTTGTTTCTAGGAGATCTGGGTGAAGGTGCTGTTGTGGTTCCTCTGGAAGTGTGGGGCATATGGCACAGTGTATGTAACAGTGTAGGTCCCAGTGTACGGCACAGTGTATGGCACAGTGTGCGGCCCAGTGTATGGTCCAGTGTATGGCACAATGCATGGCACAATGCATGGCACAGACTTGTGAAGCGCATGGTGCAGTGGGAGAAGAGTGCAGAGAGGAGGCAGGCGCGGTGGGCTGAACAGTGTTTACCTGTCAGCTGGCATTGATTAATCTTGTGTTCGGTGAGATGGCTCAGCGACGGGAACACCTGCCGGCAGCTGTCGCAGCTGTGCAGAGCGTCGTCCTCCTCTTCTCCCTCCTCAGCCTCCTCTGGAGAGCACAGCCTCTGCCTCAGACGCACAGCCGCAGCATCCTCCTCCGGCCTCTCGGGGGCGCACTCGGAATCTGCACAGACACAGGAAATGACAGCAGAGCACAGTCAGAAGGGCGACCCACACACCCAGTCATCACCGCTTCCTCTGGGTGACAATAAAATGGATTTCTCGACTCTGGATTTAATAAAAACAATAATAAAAGCTGTAATAAAAATGCAGGTTCAATTTGGGCCTGTGTAACTCAAGCACTCATGCCACAGCACGGAGCGGGCAGCTGGGGTGAGGGAGAGACTGAGGGGTGGCACAGAACTACACTGTGTTATTAGAAATGCTTTTACACATGTTTGCCCTGCTGCACCCAGGCAAAACTTCACTATATGAGACTAGACAGAGGGGAATACGTGCAGTTAATAAATCCAGGCCTGCACTTTTTGGCTGCACCGGAGACATATGAAATCCTGCCAGTGCACTGAATAGCATCAGTCAGTGTGTATTAAAGCAGACAGGCCTCGGCGTATTACCCAGACATCTAGGCCAGCAGCGTGGATGTATGGAGCCAGCAGAGAAAGGCACAGCGAACTGAGATTGCTGTGTGTTAGGCTGTGGCACGACACACTTGCCTAAATTATTCAGCCTTGCTTGCAGGCAGCCGCGGGTCGCGCACATCAATATTCTTCAATCCATCTGCAGTTTTGTCTCTTGTTGGCTTTGTGCTGCAGCAGTGCCAGCGGTGGGCCATGGACTACCCACAGTAAGGACCAGAAGTCATCTCTCACAATACACGTCTCATCTGTAATTGCACATGTGATGCAACAATCCAACCTAATGTTTTTTGTCACATTCAAATTCACCAAGGAGACTGCTCAGAGTGGATGGTTGGCTCGGAACAGCGTCTGGTTGGCAGCAAGACCCAGAGGCCTTCTGCTCCCTGCTGTGACTGTTACCCTGCACAATAACACTGATTAAGAAGCCCTACGAACAATCAAACAATAAAGTCAACTGCCCGTTAAGCTTGATGTGACAAGATCGCATTCAGTTTATCCATTTTTAATTCCTTACCTTATAGACTCACAACCAAGCACATTATAGGCATAATCCTTCAAATAAAGTAGTCCTAATCAAGCCTAGCTCAAGATCTGCAGATGGGTTTGATTTGTTTCTAACGATGGCTGACCAATGAGCTCTTTTGTTTCCCAGGCGTCACTGAAATAAACACATCTGATTGCACTATGTTGTCTGAATCTAGCTTGAGGCACAATGGAAGGAGTGACAGGAATTCAATAGCAAGTGTACTTTTCAGACAGTCGTGAGCCAAACTAATTCAGATAAAAAGCTAAGGTCAGAAATGCACTTCATCGTCACTCATTTGCCTGTTTATGTGGACATCTAAAAACATGGTGGCCACAGTTCATTTGTATTAACTGTGGTATAATCCATAGCCTTGCATTACTCAACATATGCAGCCATTTTGTGTCTGTCTTTATAGGGTGCTGTTACGTCTGTGTGATTCCTTGAGGAAAAGGCGTTGCAGAACTCATCAAGGCCACCCAGGATTTTTCCTTTCCCCCACTTGCGCCAAGTATTGATGTAACATCACACCCTCCATTGTCCTTCTCTCTTGGCGACTCAGGCTCTCGGAACATGCCCTCTAAAAATATCAGCCCTGTGGTCCCCAGTGGGAGCATGCAGAACAGAACAGAAGGTGTTTCAAGAAAATGAAAATCCCAACCCAATCCTCGCAGATGCAGGCCGGTCTCGCTCAGGGGGAAAACACTTCAGACTAGGGCCAAAAGCCACACTATATAGACTTATGATTCATCCGCACTCACCGCACAGCATAGAACTCAAAATATGGACACAAATGTGAGCACTTCATAGCTATTTGTTCACGATTGTGTGGAGGAAGTGACCACTTTGAGATTTTTTCCAGTGGCCTTTATGAAACATTAATATTTCTAATATTACCACTCAGCCTGGCTAGAGAAAACAACTGACAATTTAAGCACTCTCTGTTTTTGTAATGGCCTCAGACACTACAGTAGCCAAGTCAAATTGTGTTCTGCTAAAAATTACCTGGTGTATGCTAAAATATTAATGTATTGTGAAACTTCATTTGCTGATACAGGATCAATACTGTGAGCTGCAGTATCGATATATACCGCCATGACCAGTGTATTTCATAAACGCAAAGTGCGTGTAGTGATTCTACAAACACAAAAACAACAACTTCACAACTTGAACCATTCAAGAAGTCAACCCTTTTCAACAGCTATAGCTACAGCTAGGTTTAGAAAGTAGGAAAGATTAGTCCTAAACATTGCCAAGATTAATTAGAAAAGCATGTCTATATAAATTTAAGAGCGAACAAGGTGTAAGGTTTAACAACTTCCACATCAAATCCTTTATGGACAACATAAAACCTAAAAACAAAGTAGGTACCACAGTTAGCTAGCTCTTCAGCTTCCACTGACATGCAACATAACTTGGAGAACCACTTCCAAAACATACTTGTCCAGTGTCATACCATGCTAGCAGTTTAGCTCGGTTTGCAATGCTAAGTGCTATATTGGTTTCTGGTGACGTCACTCACCACACTTCTCACTTAACGATGCAAGCAGTAAAAGCTCAAAATCATCTAAAAACCTGTGCAGCAATGTTATAATACACTGGGAAAGTTTCAGACACTTCAGAGCAGGTTTCAGTTGTTAGAAGATTTCCATTATGTTTGACCTGCCAATCACCAAAAGCTAATAATTGATTAGAATTGTTTAAAATGCAGCCTGGTCATTATACAGTGTAATTTCTAGTTGTATAAATGAAAGCACCACAGCTGACAGTAAGGACTAGCCCTGTTATGATATTTGAGCAGTTTATGCATATTCCCTCTGGACTTCATTCATTTTGTTTACATTAGCGACTAGATCCAATATGGCCGCAGGTGGCGTATATAGATCATGAGTCTGGCATGAACCGATAGTGATGCATGTTTGGTTGCATTACAAAGGTGCAGTACAGTGCAAGTGTGGGGGGTGCTTGACACAGCAAGGTCATGTCCAACCCTGGGATTAAAGAAGCACGTCGATAACTTAGGTTCCTGCGCCTCTGGGCCTCATACAGTAATCCATCAGATCAGGACATCCGTGAGCATGCTCTCTACAGGCCAGACAGCAGATCAATAGCACCAAGCCCTTGCCACCGCTGACAATCACATGCGGAATATGAAATTGGGGCGACATATTGAGATTTTTTTTCTTCGCCCCACACCAAACAGGCTTGTTAATGTGGCTAATGAGCTTGTCAACACTGGTATGGAGACAGGGGAGAGGCATTGACTGTTGATCTATATCGTGGTAAGGTCAAGTCGAAGAGAACTCATTGACCTCAAGGAGAAATGTAAAAATGGCGTTACTGAGTCTACGTGATTGTCTAGTTATGTAAATACTATTTGAACTAACTTTTACTGCTGTTCCATTGGAATATTCAAACTCTCCACTCAAGAGCAACTTGGCTAGAGAGTGGATGGTTTTCATTGAGCCAAAACGTCCATAAGAATTGACTTGGCTAGCCAAGATATGTGCGCTGGTCTATATAAAAAGAATTCTGGTCTCAACTCCACAAGTTCCCATTGTGTGGAATTGACAGGTGTATTTAAAAAAAAATCTGAGAAACACATGCTATCACACTAACACATGCACTGCATACAAAAACTTGAGAGTAGTGAAAATTTCTATGAAAAGTGCACCTGATGCTTCAGTGTTCCAAAAGGTTGTAGGAGCTACATGTGGCTAGCATTTGAGCGAGGTCCTTTGTTCGAGTCTAGGCCAAGATCCTGCTTGGTTCCTGGAAGCTGCAGTGTGGTTATCCCCTTGTCCTAAAGTTCAGGAGCAGGAAGGCAAGAAAGCAGGAAGTTTTCTTCAGAATAACCTGTTATATTGACTGTAATATTGTCATATGGGTTGGGGAGTCAGAGGAGAGGTCAGATTTCTAATTGACTGTTTTTTTTGTTTGTTTGTTTGTTTGTTTTGTTTTAGTTTTTTTTTTGCTGATTGCAGATTTTTTGGCCTGATTTATGGTTAATATCTTTTATTTCTGGGCATATTGTTATGAAGAAAACTGCTGCAAAGTTCAATATCTTCTCTGTAAGTATAATTAAACAAAAGCGAAATTATTTTTACCTTTTACCTATTGTCAGCTGAAAAGTTTTTAAATTATGAAATTCAAATATCAGCTTTGTGGACCAAATGTCCATCAAATAATGATAAGGTTCAACATGTGTGTATTTGTATTTTGGACATAAAGGCCCTTGTTCTCCATCTAAAATCGTGACATTAACAAATTCTAGAACATGAACCCTAACCATCGCTTACAACATTTTTTCCTTTCCTCATCCCCATGACGCAGCCTATGCAATGTCTTAAAGTGCATATTTATCGATTTCTACATGTTGCCTTCAATCAAATGTTGGAATTCCATGGTTATGCAGCTACAACCTCTCACAGGATTAATATTAAAGTATAGATCTTTGCATTGTGATTGACACCAGACGAGAATAGCAATATCTCCGCCTTAAAGTCCAAAACCATCCATCACATTGAGTCTCGCTTGCTATGGAAGCCTGGTGACATTTATCACCAAAACAACTTTCATCTTGAGGAAACGAAAGAAAAAAAAAATCCCTCTGGCCCCCCACCCTTATATTATTGAATATGTCTGGTCTTAAATATTTATAACCTTTTAATTGATATTCTTTCCCCGCTCCATTAGCCCCACTAGGGACCCTTGGGTGGCTGGCAGGGGATCCTTGACGCGCCCCCCCCCTCCCGCCCCCATAACCCCCCACTGTCTGGCCCACACACTGAGAGGCTGAGACACTGACCATGCGGGCTGGAGCACTCAGGGAGAAGTGGTAAGTGGTGGAGACTCATTTGCAAAGGCTGACTTTTAATGTGATAGGGTTTCAAAAAGGAGGTTGTACTAGATTATGTAGTCTATTATGGAGTCAAAAAAAGCGTGGCGAATTTGCATGAGCACATTTTCAGGCCGTGAGGAAGATGATTGAAAGTGCAACCC